TAGTTAAAAAGTTAAGTACTGGGGTGTCAGGGTGGGGGACGATAAAAGAAATATAAATCCTAAGTCTTGCCCTTGGAATTTAGTCTTATTTAGGGGTAAAATAAATATGTTTGTCTAAGATGGTTCCTGATAAAGTGCCATAAAAAGGCTAAAGAGTATTTTTCTTAAGCATCCAGATCATCATAACGGGGCCATCAGGGTGAACTAAATTGGTAGAGGAAAGCTTGTAGACAATATGCTACAGGTTGTGAGAGACCACTGGACATTTTTGAAGAATATGGACACATAATTTTTAATGAAAATTAATTAAACAGTAGTATATAAGATGGATTATAATGGGAAAAGACTGAAAGTAAGGAAACCAATTAGCAGGCTATTAAATTAGGCTAGGTGGAGATGAGGAGGAAATAAGATCAACAGCCTTAGTGGTAGAATGTTAAGTATAGTTGGAGAATGAAAGGGAAAGGTGTTTGCAAGTACCTGGTGACTTTAAAAGTGGTATGCTTCAGTGGTTAAAAGCATGGACTCTGGAGCTAGGCTATCTAGATTGAAATTCTAGCTTCACAATTGTAGCTTTGGACAACTTAACCTCTCTCTTCCATAGTTTCCTCACCTATAATATGGTATAATAATATCTGTCTCATAGGGCTATTTTAGTATTAGCAAGTTTATAAATATAAATATAGTACTTATAGTAGTGCTTGGCACCTAGTAAATGCTATGTTAGTTTTATTGATATTCTTAAGGATATCGTTTGGCACTGGAAATTTAAGGTTTTCCCAGATACTCACTTGATTATACACCAGAGCTTTTTAGCCATGTGTACGCTTTGGGAGATTTGTGAACTCTCTGAAATTATATGTAAGATTTTGTATGAATGAATGGTTTCCAGTAGAAAGCTTCATAGTGTTCATTAGATTTCTGAAAGGCATGTGTAAACCAAAATAAAAAGACTAAGAAGCCTTAATATGGACAGCTGAAAATATAGAAAGCTCATTTGAAAGAGAGTAAGGGTTTGATGATATAAATGTAAAAATTATTTGCTTAGAGCTAGTAGTTGATATTGAGATTTTATTTAACTCAATAAGATAAAGATTATATTGAGAGAACTGAGAACCAAGGACTAAGCTTTGGGAGAATATCATAATTAGGATAAACAATGTATTAAAAATATAATTATTACATTTTAAGCAGAAACAAAAAAGTTCTGAGGCACAGAAGCTAAGAGACTATTGTTTCAAACAGTCATTATCCATTATTGTAGGAAAGCTGAAGATGGATTGGTATGACAAGATTATTGGAAGTAGCAAAGTGGAAAATAGTTCAAATTGAGTTATGTAATAAGAACCCATTTTGGAGAATGGTGAGGAAGATGGAGGCAGAGTTAGACTACTGGCCTGAGAAATTTGGCAGTGAAAGTACATTAAATTGAACTGGGTTCTTTATGAACTAAAGTCATTTGAAATACTGAACAGTTGTATTCTGTATTCTTCGTTGTGCATTATGTGTGCTGATTCTTGCCTTCTTTCTTTTAGGGTTTCAATCCACCTGTTCTTGTTTTTGTTCAGTCCATTGAAAGAGCTAAAGAACTTTTTCATGAGCTCATATATGAAGGTATTAATGTGGATGTTATTCATGCAGAGAGAACACAGCAACAGGTAAAATCAAATGTATACTTTCAAAACCTGAAGAACTACTTAATTTAAAATTATTGGCATTAAACTTATGAAGTACCTGTTTTCTATTATTTGAGTGATACTAAAGCATTTAATATGATTCTATTAACCAGAGAGATAACACAGTCCACAGCTTCAGAGCAGGAAAAATCTGGGTTCTTATTTGTACAGCCTTGCTAGCAAGAGGGATTGACTTTAAAGGCGTGAACTTGGTGATCAACTATGACTTTCCTACCAGCTCGGTGGAATATATCCACAGGATAGGTGAGTCGTCGCTTTTGTCTTCCCCTCCGTCGCCCACTCATCTGTCTTAGCTCTGCTACTCACTTCTGACATGCTCATTTTTTAGTGCTGTGAAAACTCAGTGACTTTAATATGTGAATCTTGAGAGTCCTTTTCCCCGCCTCCAAAAAGTGTTTTTTTATGGTCTTATTTCTCTTAGGTCGAACTGGAAGAGCAGGACATAAGGGAAAAGCTGTTACATTTTTCACCGAAGATGATAAACCATTATTAAGAAGGTAAATTAGGAGGCCGGGCG